CAATTTGCAGCGTTTTGACTGCATAAAATCTCACTTTTTCTCACTAAAACCACAGACGAAGGTGTTAAAACCCCTGTTTTTTGTCGTTTATCTTCTCTGGTTTTCAATTTGCAGCGTTTTGACTGCACAAAATCTCTTTTTTCCACCTTAAAACCACAGACGAAGGTGTTAAACCCCCTGTTTTTGCTGTTTTTTGCGGTTTCCCTGCAGTGTAAGACGCTGTCGGAGGTGTGTGAGCACATCGTGTGCGTTTCTTCGGACCCGCTGGTGTCTCAGTCGGCCCACCTGGAGCTGGTGCACCTCACCAACGTCAAGCCCTCCGAAGGCCTGGTAACTAACTGTCCTGTGGGGGGGGGGTTTTTGGAGGGAGGACTCAGGTGCGGAGATGAGGGAAGACAAGGTTTATTGTCACAAAAAAACACTCACGAAGAGTGAACGTCCAGACAAAGTACAAATCAAGACTGTGGGAAAACTGTGAGCAAAGTAACGAAGCAATAAGCAAACAAGACTGAGGCAAAACTATGGCACAGTAACGAAATAAAGATTAACAAAACTGTGACAAAAGCTGTGGCAAAACTGGGACTATGACAAAAAGCAAACGAAAACAGACGAAACCAGAAGGACAAAACGGACGAAAACGCACTGGCACAGGACAAGGGGAAACGAGGACTATTTAAACACATGAGGGGGGGGAACCCCAGGTGTAAACAATAAGTAATCAAGACACTAACGCCTCCCTCTGTGTGACTACACCAGTGTTTTTCAACCGTTTTTGAGCCAAGGTACATTTTTTTTAATAGAAAAAAATCACGAGGCACACCACCAACCGAAAATGTTAAAAAAATCTGTAGCCGCCTATAGTAACACTATAGTTATTCTTATTTTATTCTTATCTTATCTTAAGTGTCTTGAATAGGAATCAAATAAACACAAAAATGTATTTTTATCATATTTGATATTTCTTCAGTGTTTTTCAGCCTTTTTTTCATTGAAAAAATCTCGAGCCAAACCAAAAATCTGTAGCCGCCTATAGTAACACTATACTTATTCTTATTTTATTCTTATCATATTTATTTATTTACTTTGTTTCTTTCTTTTTTCCTTCCTTCCTTCCTTCCTTACTTACTTACTTACTTTCTTTCTTTCTTTCTTTCTTTCTTTCTTTTTTCCTTTTTTCTTTCTTCCTTCCTTCCTTCCTTCCTTACTTACTTCCTTCCTTACTTACTTTCTTTCTTTCTTTCTTTCTTTCTTTCTTTCTTTCTTTCTTTCTTTCTTTCTTCCTTCCTTCCTTCCTTACTTATTTACTTACTTACTTTTTCTTTCTTCCTTCCTTCCTTCCTTCCTTCCTTCCTTCC